TTCTATTATGTTTTTTTTTTCTTTTGTTTTCATAGCTTTCATATTCATGCTTTATTGGTGAAATAAACTTAAATCCGTATAGTGTTTTTAATCAATTAAATTATTCAACATTTTCGAGATCTATTTCATATGGATATGAAGGATCATCCCCAAAAATTATAGATGATATTTTTTTTTTGAAAAATACATCTCTTTTAATCGAATAAATTATGTTATTTATGATATTATAACTTCATTTTTCTTTTTATCTCTTTCTATTTCTATTATATTTATTATTTAAAAAATATATTATAAAATATAATAAACAAAAGTATGATATTTGGAGGTCTAAGTTTGTATTTTTGATAAAAAAGAATGACATGTTAACTTGACCAACCCTTACTTCAGCTCACATCAGAGTTTGTGAATGATTAGAATTTTTTAATTTAAATTAATAGATCTTGTTTAGGAATGAGGTACTCCATGCAAATAATTTAATGATCACTTGTAATTTCCTAGAATTACATATAGATATAAAATAATATAATATTAGATTAATAGGAGATGGTTACATATTTTCTTAATGTGTAAATAAATTCCATCAATATAGAGTATATGTTTCAAATGTAATATGGTGCTTCTATTAAATATTTATATGTAAACATTGAACATGTATATGTTAAAATAGACAACGTAGAATTTAAATTGACATATCAAATCTAAAAGTTTATCTATATATATGCATATCGATACAAAATAAAAACTATAAAACTATTTATTTATTATATTACATGTGGATATCATATTAGTTATGATCTTTTTCTAATACCTTGAAATATACCCAATATAACCGAAAAAATTAATATTGTGTTTGATGTACCAATAAAAAATAATAAATGATTTTAAATAAAATATTTTACTTTAAAATTTATTTAATGATTACTTAAATAAGATTGATAATTTATTTTTATAAAAAAAGATAATGTATAAGGACTGGAACTCGTACTCACAAACGGGAAGAGAGACAAATAATAAATGAGATATTTGAGAATTCATAATAAATAATTATGTATAATATTAAATATTTTTTGTAACAAATAATTGATTATGACAAAAAAATATATAATGGGATTTGTATAATATTTGATTATGACTAAAATAAGTATTTATTTGTAACAAATAATTATGGAATTGTTTGAATGGTAAATAATACATAAAAATTAACAAAATTTATTTCATGGTAGTATATGGAATTGAAGTATTTATTTAGTCAAGGAAGATTGGAGTTCAAATTCCAATACAATTATGAAGAGAAATTAATTATTTATATTTAACAAATATTTTTTTATTGATAAATCATGCATAGAAATTGATAAAATTTATTGCAATGTATTAAATATAGTTTTGGAGGGAAATTTTCACAGCTTAGCTTTAACTAGTACGTACCAGTGCGATGCACGGTGGGTGTATAACTTAAAACATATTGAAGTACTTATATTAAATGGAATTAATTGAATTGAACATATAATTATGGAAACAAAAATAAAAATAAAAAAGACATCATATATTATTAAAAACTTCTCTGTACACAGCATTATTTGTTTGATTTGGGGGCAAATCATGTTCACCACATATTAGAATTTTCAAACCCTTTCTGTTGGTGACGCGCGAAACATCAACATATAACTGACCATGACTGAAAACTGGTTTCTTCAAGAATAGTCATTGCATAAGAGACCACGATAGAGAACTGCCTTCGTTGAAACTTAAAAGGTACTCTTGCATCCGAAGTTATCGTCATTCGAGGTATCAACATTTTATCCCAGCATGGTCGCCCATAAGTATCCTACATTCTAGGATATGATTGGAGAGTCTTGTTACAACCAAACGTGTCTCGTTGCACAATCCCATAGAATGATCCATGTTCCGCAACAATATAACAGGAGTTCCCACCTTCAAATGCAACTCATGATTTGGTGTACCAGAACATTTGAGAGAATTTAAGAACTCAGGAGTGTGGATTTCTGACAAGAAGTCAGAATTCAAATCGGATTTACAGGTACTGTTGGAGCTCAAATATACACGACCTTCTGTTAGATTCAACGACGACATGTATTGGTTGATAGACTCAACGATCTCCAACATAGTGAGCATCCCGTGCGATGCACGGACGGACTTGTTTCTTGAAATATTTTTTTTTTAAAAAATTATATTTAAAATGTAATTATTTATATTTAAACAACTCATTATTTTAAATATAATTATTTATATTTAACATATCTCATTATTGATTTTTATAATAAGCATTTTCCATAATTAATTATCATTCAAATAAAACAAATAATTAATTACCATTTAAATAAAACAATTAATTAATTAACATAATTGTTTCCTATAAAAAATAAGCAATGCATATTAGACAATTAATGTGCACATCCCATCCAGGAACTGACTTTCGTATCAATCGAGAACTTCTCACACGTCACATCTCCTGGCCTATCATTTCCAAGTGCCACCCTTCGAGCTAAATATTCTCGTCCGATCTGCCATAGCCCAACAGCTCAGACCGACCACCAGAAGCCCGTGCAACCAGCCCGAGTCCAGCCAAAAATTATTGTATTCTGTTGGTATTTTCACAAGTGCGCAATTCACATCCAACAAAATTTCGCTCATTCTTCATACGCAAAATCCAACAAAATTCACGCACGTCTCATTCTTCATACGCAAAAACCAACCAAGAAAAAATGAACCGTCGTTCGAAAAATTATCGCCAGCGCTCAAAATATTCGATTATCTTCACCAGCAAAGAGTGCGACCATTCGTCGCCTTCAACATCCACTCTAGTCCGACCAGCATTGCACGCAAAACAATCGAGATATCTCACTCGTTCAGCCCGTCGTCTTGCCATGTTTGTTACCAACCGCCCATCAGCAGCATCATTGAAACGTCCAAGCATCAACAACCTTCGTCCAGCAGTCATGAACAACCAGCACCAACACCAACGACCTCGTATCTTTAAGCTTCGTTGACCCTTCAGTATGGTCATCCTTCGGCTGTCGATTTCGAGCCAAAACTCGACCAATCAGACCATCATCAGCCGCCTGAGACTTCGTACAATTGTCCATACTTCACGATGCACGACAAAAAACACACAACCTTCAGCCATAACTTTCAGCCATCAACGTCCGACGCCGCATCAATTTTGCCCCGACTTTCCGATGCACGACCAAAAATTGCCAGCCTTCAGCCGTCAACGTCCGACGCTGCATCTGTCCGATAATGTATGCCCGCTGACCTCTATCAGCCCTAGCCGTAACCCGGCCCCTCGTACAAGCCATAGACGCAACCTAGCCGGCTGCGGACTACAGGTAGCCGACGATGAATATATATATTGAGTTTGAAGGGAGACAATGATAAAGGGAATAATGTGGAATAATGTTGAATTATTTTCAAAAGATAATGAAGAGTTTGTTACCAATAAAAATTCTATGGAGCCATCCGATGACTCTATAGCAAAATTGTTGTTCCCAATATAATTATATGTAAGTTAAGATAAGATGTAATGTATCCAAAAAAATCTGCATGTGATTGCTTTCTTTGAATGTTTAATTTATTTTTTTTCAAAATATTTAGTCTGCTATTAAATTATAGTAGATTTATAAAAATAAATAGGAATAAGTATTGTTTGAAACGATAATTACGGATCAATTTATGGAATTGGGATATGTGATAGTTTTGCAGTTATGTTGCTAAAGAATGGATTGTGTAGAGATTTAAATAGCGTGTCATTGTATTTTTTTGATATCTAATCATTTTTATTAACTTGTCTCCAGCATAAAAATTATGAAAATATTCAAATGCATATGTGATTTTGTAAGAAAATGTCTATTTTTTAATTTAATGACCGCATTAAAAATAAATTATGAAAATACTCAAACGCATATGTGATTTTGTGAGGAAAGATCTATTTTTTAATTTAATGACTACATTAAAAATAAATTTAAAGGAGCAAAATAATATAACTAATAATATTTGAACAAAATCAATTATCTCGAACTCTCTATATATACAAATATATGTAAAAAACATTAATTATCTCAAATGTAACCACTGAACGATTTTTTAGGTATTTATAATGTTATGATTATTGTCTAATAACTAATAATATTTGAAAACATATAAAAATATGCTAACTACTTTTAATTTTCACGAATTTAGTGGGTAATAAATTCTTAAATATAGCTAGAATCTAATGTAATTTTATCTATACAAAATATTAATGGCCCCAAATCAAGAAGATTTGTTTGCACTTATTGATACTCAATTGATTTATATTATAAATTAATAAATATTGTCAATTTTGTCACAGATCATCTTTTTCATTTCAAAAAGAAATTATTCTTCCAAAAATGGTGTTAGGAATATCTGCTGTCAAACTCAAAAGATTATTAGATTACTCATACAGAAATATAGAAAAAAAAAATATTTTGAAAGGATACCAATTAAACTAACGGACTTGTAGGGATTTAAATCAAAAGGATAAAGGAAAACATGTGTTACAAAGAGTAAAAATTGGTTAGATAATTATTGACTCGTTCAATTTTTTTAAAATTCGAAAAAAGTGTTTAAGGCGGGATAAACGTGAACCAAATAAAAATATTTTAGATAAATGTTGACTCATTCAATTTGGGAAGAAATCTCATCCAAAATGAAAGGAATACCATTCAAAAACAGTTTCCGAAAAAATTCAAAGTTTCGAAAAACAGATTTAAGCGGAATCCAAAAAAATTTCAAACACAATATTAGGGGGAAAAACAGGTTTTAAGCGGGAAAACGAAATAATTTTTTTTGGATTGTTCAAATAATTTTCCTTCTCCGTATTATATAATAATAGATATATATATATATAGATAATAAGGATAACTGGGCCTACGCCCTAGGGCCAGTAGCAGCTCGTTTCAGTCTTCTAGAATAAACTTTCAGAAATTGGTCTTTATCAGCTTTGCTGACATCTTTGCTTCTCTTCATATACTCATCCTCTTTCCATTTATTCATCTTCTCAGAAAGAAGTTCTGAAGTCCAGAAATAAGGAACTAGTCCAACTGTTTGAATATGCCGTTGGTATCCATCATGCTGGGATGTTACGGGATGACAGAGGCCTGACTGAACGACTTTTCTCTGAGGGACTTTTAAGGGTATTATAACACTTCTCAACTCATATATTTGAATATCTAAACATATTTTCCTCTGATAGATGCTTTTTTTTTTAACATATTTTCCTCTGAAAGATGCTTCCTCTCTTTCTAGGTACTCGTTTGCACAGCGACTCTAGCATGGGGAGTAAATCTTCCTGCTCACACTGTGGTGATTAAGGTTGTTCTACATTAAAATTTGAATATTACCCTTTTGATAATGCATCTCTTACGTGTACGGATTTGCATTTTCGACTCTTCAAATGCTTTCTTTGTTTAAGTTCCTCCTGGATCTGTCTCTGCCTCTCATATTCTGGTTTTCTTTATGTTAATGCTTTGGTCCATGGTAATCTTGTCCAACATATCACATTACAATAATTGCAATGGAGCATATCTAAATCTTGTTGGGTTTTAATTCACGAAGATAAGATTTCAGGTCTTTCGTGGTGTCTGAATTGTTAGAGATTGTATTCTTGTGCTGTACTTGCTCTGTTTAAATTGTTAGAGATTGTATCCTTGTGCTGTACTTGCTCTGTTTTTCTTGTAACATCCCTATGTTGTTCCTCATCTCATTTTCATTCTCCCATGTTAGACTGTCTTTGGAAGTTATAATTCCCCATAAAGCAGTAAGCATTCAATCACTTCTTCTGGAGTTGAAAATGTTGTTGTGTTGCTGCACTTGTAAGTACAATGACCAGGCTGGTAATGTTGCTTATACTTTTTTCATCAGGAAACTCAAATATATGACCCAAAGGCTGGTGGGTGGTGAGATTTGGGCATGCTTCGCGTAATGCAGGTGTGAGTCAACCTTATTCTCTCTCTCTCCTCTCATGTCCTTCTGAGTTTAATAGATTTTCTGTAGATATTCGGTCGTGCTGGAAGACCCCAGTTTGATAAAAGTGGTGAAGGCATCATAATAACCTCTCACGACAAATTAGCATATTATTTGCGTCTTTTAACCAGTCAACTTCCAATTGAGAGTCAGGTAAATTCTTAGTTGTCTATTATCTTTAAAATTGTGATTGTTAGCTTATATGCTGGATTTAAGAACTTTAAGCTAGTTCTGGAATTCACTGACATTCCTAAAGGGACTTTGTCTGTGTTTGAATAAACAGAAGATTCCTGGAAATTTTGATATCTCTCCAAATTAGAAGTTTTCCTGGCTTAGAACTTCGTTGGAACCATGAGATCTGAATTATTAGTTATGGTTAGTGGCATTTTCCATATTCATGTTTACTGTAATTCGCAGTTTATAAACTCCTTGAAAGATAATCAAAATGCTGAGGTAGCACTGGGGACTGTGACAAATGTTAAGGAAGCTTGTGCTTGGCTGGGATACACATATCTTTTCAGAAGGATGAAAATGAATCCACTGGCATATGGTATTGGATGGGATGAGGTACTTTCATGTTTCAACCTCTTTTAGTATAGTCAACATACTATTCTGCTGCCTATCTCATTCTTATGTCATTAATTATATTTTTTATCTCTACTCAGTTTCCTTCGTCTGTGACAGAAATTAAGAAACTCATTTAGTAGATGTGCTTTTTGTTGCTCAGTTGAAAACATGTAGTCTTAGTCAGTCCAACATGTCATAACTGTAATCACTAAGCATGCATCTAATTTTGGGAATCATCTTTTGGGGATTCGTACTGAAGTTTGCGTCATTGAACCCTAAAAGTGTCGCCATAATCAATTAATCTTTAGAGAACCGCATGATGTCCTAATATGTGAGGCTAACTTGACTCTGATCTTGTCTTTTAGGGCCATCATACTCAAGTTTTACTTCAGAAACTCCTCCCCTCTGTTTATGTTTCTGGTTAACTAAGTTATTGTAATGTGCCAGGTCATTGCGGATCCTTCATTGAGTCTGAAACAAAGAGCTCTGGTTTCAGATGCCGCACGTGCTCTGGACAAGGCAAAGATGATGCACTTCGATGAGGAAATTGGAAACTTTTATTGCACTGAGCTTGGTCGTATTGGTAGCCACTTTTACATTCAGTACTCCAGTGTTGAAACCTATAATGAGCTTTTGAGATGCCACATGAGTGATACGGAGGTAATGGACTATAAGAGATGGGTGTTTTTTTATTTATTTTTGTTGTCCTACCAGGAGATGAATTATGTTGATCTGGTTTCTTTATTACTGATTACTCAATTGTTTGTAATTATTGATTCATTGCATCTGCACTTCCTGTGTTCAAAATATTCTGAGTTTATGCACTTTATGCCTTTCGTTTCCAAGACTGAAATCTGTTTGCTTATAATATATTTTACATGATGCCTGTAGTCAAGACAGCATATATAACAGTGGATCCCGGAGTCAAAATGAATTTCTGTACTAAGAGCATATGCCTTTTTATAGCTTCTCCACGTCGAGTGCTCACTGAAAAGAAATTTGGGAGGGAACTTCTTGTGAAAACCAAGTGCCTGACTTCTAAGTATATGCTTGAAAGTAACATTCATCTAAAGACGGCAGACATGCAAGGGTGAAATAGATTTAGTCTATGAATGTCATTCGCTGACATTTTTTTGTTTGGACCATTTTTTTCCTTGAAAATGTGACATATCATTAATTCTATATAGTCATGGGGTTCATTCAATATAAATGTTTGATCATGGATTGCACTCCGACAATTATTGGAATGCTGGAAAACTTTGAGTTTCTGTTCCTTGAGTAGGCGAGTTTTTTTCCTTTTTATTCTTTTTATTTTTTCGTTTTTTTTTTTGAAGCATTGAACAATTGTCAGAATTTTTCACCATTTGAGCTAGAGCATTTTTTGTGTTCTTTTTCTTTTATCTTTATTTACATTTGGTTATCTTTTCACTTCTAGGGAAGAGAATGTCTGAATGTCTTATTAGATCTTGTTCTGTGCTTCAAGTTAGGGATTCCTAATGCTCCTTCGGATGTTTCAGTCGAACGATAAACATCCATGCATATGGTTTAGAATTTCAAATTACACAGAAGCCTAATAACGAGAAATGTTTTGGTTTGTCTTGTTTTGCACTTACTGCATCTTCACTTTCCACTGATAGGTTGATGTTGGCAAAGAAATGTTTAAGTTTGTTCATGTTTTGCACGTCCGACATCTTTATGTTCTATTGATAGGTTGATGTTGGCAGCGAATCTCAGTGAACGGACTTCTTAGAGGATATTGAGTATATAATTTCCTCTGGACCAATGGCCCATCTTTCTATTCTTATAGGTGATTGACATGGTTGCACATTCTTCGGAATTCGAAAATATTGTCCTCATAGACGAAGAACAAAATGAGCTAGAAATGTTGGCTTGCAAATGTCCTCTGGAAATCAAGAGTGGTCCGTCAAATAAACATGGAAAAGTGTCGATACTTATCCAGGTCAATGGTTATTACTTCTTAGAAAGTTGGCTGTGTTAGTTTTAAGGGAAAGTCATCCTTGTCTTACGTTTATGTATTTAATTTGTCTTACAGATGTACGTATCCAGGGGCTCAATTGATACTTTTTCACTAATTTCTGATGCATCATATATTAGTTCAAGCTTGGCTCGTATTATGAGAGCCTTGATTGAGATTTGTTTGCGGAGAGGGTGGAGTGAGATGTCATCTTTTATGCTATAGTACTGCAAGGCCATGGATCGTGAAATTTGGCCCCACCAACATCCACTCAGAGAGTTTGATAGAGAAATTTCAGCAGAAGTTCGGAATAAAACTTCTTTCCATTTTGGGGCATTTTAAGTCATATATTTCTAAAATAGCCATATGTTACTGAATTATTTTTCAGATACTGAGGAAGCTTGAAGAAAGAGGGGTGGACTTAGATCGTCTATATGAGATGGAGGAAAAAGAAATTGGATCATTAATTTGCTATGCACCTGGAGGAAAGGTATCTCTTCTATTTCGCTGCTGTTATAGAACTTGGAAAAAAATTCCTTTCTCTGTGATATGCTACACACAATGTGGCCTGATTTCTTCTCAATTGAAGGTGGTCAAGCAATACATTGGATATTTTCCAATGGTACAGTTAGCTACAGTAAGCCCAATCACTAGAACTGTTTTAAAGGTACCGGCAATGTGCCAAAGTCCACCCGGAGATTATGGTTCCCCTTATTGGAACACATCATGTTTAGAACTTATCATTTTGTTTCGTATATCTCGATATTTACTTAAGATGTAAGTATGGTCACTAATACTTTTAAGGTGGCTTGTTAGCAGGAACTCAGGTGAATTTGATTCATGGGGTTGCAGAAAAAGTGTTCTCCGAGATGGGCTCCTCTGTGAGCTACAAAGTGGGCACAATGATCGAGATCCCTAGAGCCGCTCTTGTGGCAGACGAGGTTCGCGAATTTTGTTGTTCTGAGCTAAAACCACATTATGTTTTCTGAATTTGAGTACTAATAGTATTTACATTATATTCTAGCTGACCAGAGGTTACAAAGTAAAAAGTAAAAACATGCAGAGTTTACATTGTTAACTGCAAAATTACTACAAGAGTATAGCAATTTTTATAGTGCAATGTGGCAACAGTTTTACCAAATTCTTTGCAATGTTCGTTCTATAAGTTCCAATTCTGTAATTTTGGTTTCAATATTTCCTCAATTACGGTGTATCAAACCAAAAGTAAACTAGGCTCTAAATTTCCTAATCCTTTTATGCTCTTCAACAACAGGCTATTAGCAATTGAAAAATTCTTTAAAATGCCTAAGTTCAACTTTTGTTCCCGATACTCGTCTTTAGGGTCAAATTTTAGGTTGAGAAGTATACATCGACTTGCTTTTTTCCAGTAACTTACAAGATTAACTTGATTTTCGGTGAGCGTTGTTCCGAACTCAAAGTTGTCGGCAATCACATCTTCTAAGGCAATAAACCGTGCAGCTTCAAAAAAATGGTAAAACACGGATAGTAAAGCTTTCCTAAAGGCATTGTCGTCGTAAAACCTATTGTCTTTTTTTTTTTGCTTTGGCTTCGGCATGGACAACAATTGCAACGCACTTCTCAGAGCTTCTCGGCCTACTGGTAGGTCATTTCTTAAATCATCACTAATGCTTGGATAGCTCCCATCGTATGGAAGCGGTTGAGCCTTTGGTAATAACTTTTGATCACCACGGAAACAGATCTGCGAGGGCTCTTCTCTCGAAGGATCTATTTCCCTCTCGAGCTCAATTAGGTCTAGATTATCGGAACGTGTATTCAAGACTATCTCTTTCTCTCGATCGAAGTTAAGAATCTTTAATTTCATCAAAAGTTTAAGTTGGTCGGCATTAGTCACTGCCTCGGGACGCATAAGAGGAATACCTGAAACTGTCACATAATGAAGCCTTCCAGATGCATGTTGACGTACTTTCGAAGGGCTCTTATAGCCTTCCTATACTCGATCTTCGACTCTGGAAATGCGAGCAAGTGATCCTCCATTTTTGAGGTCGTTCGTGCTCGAAGGAGGCGGGATTTGGGGTTTTTCAGAAATGGAGGATCACTTGCTCGCATTTCAAGAGTCGAAGATCGAGTATAGGAAGGCTATAAGAGTCCTTCGAAAGTACGTCAGCATGCATCTGGAAGTTTTTCATTATGGTGACAGTTTCAGGTATTCTTATGCGTCCCGAGACAGTGACTAATACCGACCAACTTAAACTTTTAATGAAATTAAAGATTCTTAACTTCGATCGAGGGAGAGAGATAGTCTTGAACACACATTCCGATAATCTATACCTAATTGGACTAGAGAGGGAAATAGATCCTTCGAGAGAAGAGCCCTCGCAGATCTGTTTTCGTGGTGATCAAAAGTTATTACCAAAGGCTCAACCGCTTCCATACGATGGGAGTTATCTAAGCATTGGTGACGATTTAAGAAATGACCTACCGGTAGGCCGAGAGGCTTTGAGAAGTGTGTTGCAATTGTTCTCCATGCTGAAGCCAAAGCAAAAAAAAAAGGGACAATAGCTTTTACGACGGCAATGCTTCTAGGAAAGCTTTACTATATGTGCTTTACCATTTCTTTGAAGCTGCACGGTTTATTGCCTTAGAAGATGTGATTGCTGACAACTTTGAGTACGGAACAACGCTCACCGAAAATCAATTTAATCTTGTAAGTTACTGGAAAAAAAACAAGTCGATGTATACTTCTCAACCTAGAATTTGACCCTAAAGACGAGTATGTATCGGGAGCAGAAGTTGAGCTTAGGCATTTTAAAGAATTTTCAATTGTTGATAGTGGGATCGTCCACCTCATTTTGGAAATCCTTCGGGTCCAGTGGAAAAATAATTCTCGAAGTTGGAGAAATCCTCGGACGGGGACCTCCGAAGGGGAGACCTCCCGAGGGCCTCAAGACAATGAAAGACAGGTAATAGCTCTAGATTGCTTTTATAAGTATGTATGCAAAGTGTTGTTTCAATTTGTTTTGATGGTTTAGAGCATGATTGGATATAAAAAGTTATTGTTTTGATTGGATTTTTGTTTTGAGTTGGTTAAATTAAAAAAGTTGGTATGGTTAGTTGTTAGTGAGTATATTAAATAATATTTAAAATAAAATGATTAAAATTAAATTGTTGTAAAAGTAGGAGAGAAAAGATGTGATGTGATGGTTAGTTAAAATTTTGTGAGTTGATGAATAGTGAATTAAGGTTGATGTTGTGTAAGAATGACTGATTGATATTATTTAATTATATTGATGATAGTGAGGTTGAGTTAAAGTTGAGTTCAAAAAAGTGGTTGAGTTAAAAATGATTGGATTTTTTGGGTTGAATTTATATCCAATCATGCTCTTAGCCGAACTAAATGTTTCGGTTGGGACATTTCATGGTAGTAAGTTTTTGTTGCAACATAGTAATTGTCATAGGTTGTTCTTCCTTTATCACCGGAAATAGTTTAATACATACACAATAAAACATAAAATGCAAATTTTTTATATTTCAATAGAAAAATCATAGTTTATTATTTTTATACAAAAAATAATAGTTTTTAGTATAGTTTGTTTTTTATTTTTGTTATTCAAATAAAAAAAATGACATCGTACCATAAAAACATAATAACAATAATCGAATCAACATAAAAAAATTTGTACCGAATTCATATTCGTTGGGTCTCGTTCGATTTTGTGCAATTCGGTAGACATTTATGTGCAATCCATATAACCAAAATGTGCACTCGCAATACATACCAAAAATATATGAAAAATATTATATTTTTTTATTAAGAAAAAAATACAAATAAAGAAAATTGGTAATACTTTTCATATATTTTGGCATATTCAATTATTTTATTTATTTAAAAATACGACATCCGACACTTAACCAACAAATATTATTCGATTCATTATCAGTATTACTTAATTTTTAGTACGTGCATCGTGTTATTTTATATGGTGCAACATGTTGTGTTATAAGGTGCAATGTATTACTGTATAAAGTGCATCGCATTGATAATGGTATATTAGCATGCTTGTGTTTATTGGTTGGTATGTTAGCATGCTTGTATATTTTGTAGATAGATGATGTGATAAAGTGCAACATATTGTTCTATAAAGTGCAACATGTTATTTTATAAAGTGGACATTTCTATATATAAAGTGCACTAGCTAATTTATACCTTCCCAGATAAATTACGTGTATAATTGTACATCGAATTATCTTAAATAATTTTTATTTAATAATGTATTTATTATTACAAAATATTTTTATATTATTTAATATCTTATCTTATTTTTTATTTAATACATATATATATATATATAATTTATTTATTAATATGCATTCCGTATAATATTTATTGTATATTTGCAACACGCGTAATTTTAAAGTGCATATCCGTACACACTATTGTGCAATTTAATCATCAATATTGTGCACTTATTATGTTTTTGTGATAAATTATAGATTTTAGCATTAATTAAATGGCATTTTATTTAAATTTTGTAAAAATTGCACATAAGTCCCTAATATATATCTAATTCTCATTGAAAAGGCCCTAGCCCCAAAAGGCCCTAGCCCCAAATTAATGTTACAATCACCACCAACAAGCGCCGGGCATCCCTCCACCCACCACACCACCACCAGCCGCCATATCGGACAGTCCATCGATGGAGGCGCTCGATGCCGGAGCTGTGGAAGTCGAACAGCGGGTTGGAGGACCACCAGAGACTTCTGCATACTCCGGCCACCTTCTGCCATCAATATCAAACTCGTGAGACGCTGCAGCCAGTCGCACAGCTGGGGCCGGCATCGTTGCAGAGGACGTTGATGAAGACGACGTCGGTGAAAATCTGACCGGTGAGAGGAAGAAGTGGGAGATGACGGAGGTGTAGGCGTCGGACAAGGGGCAGTGGCGGAGGGGAAGATCTGGATGTGCCGGAGAATGTGTGTGTGTGTGTACAACGATGGCCGGCGGCGGATTTATGGCAGTGGTTGGGCTTCGGCTATCTGACTATCCGCTCCGTCACCGGTGATTCTGCAGCTTGTCCGGAGGGTAGTGGAGGTCGCCGACGGGAGAGTGGAAGCGGCGATCGAGGCTGGGAACAGCGAAAGAACAGAGGCAGCTTGCAGCGTGTATATACAGTGTGTGCGTATGTGTGTGGTGCGTGTGTGTATAGAGAGAGAGAGAGAGAGAGAGAGAGAGAGAGAGAGAGAGAGAGAGAGAGAGAGAGAGNCTCACTCACTGAGCCCACTTTTGTTGGTGATGTTTAAAAAATTACCAATATAATTTTGACTTTTTTTTATCCATTCGAATGACTATAATTTATTCTTATTTCTTTCACTGACAACCATTCTCACTAAAGCGTGACCCTATATATGTATATATATATATTATTTTCAGAATACAAAATAGTGATAAACATAATAAAATCATAGATAAATATCAATTAGCACCCAAAAAGTTAATAAAAAAAACTTCCAGATATTATTCAAGCACCCAGTTTCAAGAAATCAGAGATAAACATCAAATTAACACTACAAAAAAATAATTTTTTTTCCCAAAAATTAACACACGTAACGAAATCATAGCAGAAAAATCTGCCTGAATCCAAGATGAATACCTGAATACTCATCAGATAAAATATGATCCATTTAATTTTAGATCCTAGAAATAATAGAGTTGCTCAAAGCCAAAGGAGAGAGTTGGAACCATTTAATTTGATAGTGGTTCCCAGAATGGGTTTATGATATGAAGACCATTGGAGAACAAATTCAGAATCACAACTCTAGGAAGTAGTCGTTGAATTCGAGCAAAAAACGCAAAAATTGCTGAAAGGTTTCAGCAATAGTGGTGTTCAGATGGAGTAGTTGATGCTGATTAGGGTTCACAACAGCTGGTGTAACGTCATGCCCAGTTGATGGCGGTGTCTAGTTCAAGCAGTGATGAGAATGTTAAATGCTCTAATACCATGTAAGATACGAAGAGATGATAGTTTCAATGTGTAATTTAAGTACATAGAACTCGTACCAAAGTGGATATAGGCTAGGTTATACGAAGAGATGATAGTTTCAATGTGTAATTTATTCAACTCTTAAATTGCTTTCTTTGTTTAAGTTCCTCCTGGATCTGTCTCTGCCTCTCATATTCTGGTTTTCTTTATGTTAATGCTTTGGTCCATGGTAATCTTGTCCAACCCTCATATCACATTACAATAATTGCGATGGAGCATATCTAAATCTTGTTGGGTTTTAACTCACGAAGATAAGATTTCAGGTCTTTCGTGGTGTCTGAATTGTTAGAGATTGTATTCTTGTGCTGTACTTGCTCTGTTTTTCTTGTAACATCCCTATGTTGTTCCTCGTCTCATTTTCATTCTCCCATGTTAGACTGTCTTTGGAAGTTATAATTCCCCATAAAGCAGTAGCATTCAATCACTTCTTTTGGAGTTGAAAATGTTGTTGTGTTGCTGCACTTGTAAGTACAATGACCAGGCTGTGATGCAGGTGTGAGTCAACCTCTCTCTCTCTCTCTCTCTCTCTCTCTCTCTTCTCATGTCCTTCTGAGTTTAATAGATTTTCTGTAGATATTCGGTCGTGCTGGAAGACCCCAGTTTGATAAAAGTGGTGAAGGCATCATAATAACCTCTCATGACATATTAGCATATTATTTGCGTCTTTTAACTAGTGAACTTCCAATTGAGAGTCAGGTAAATTCTTAGTTGTCTATTATCTTTAAAATTGTGATTGTTAGCTTATATGCTGGATTTAAGTACTTTAAGCTAGTTCTGGAATTCACCGACATTCCTAAAGGGACTTTGTCTGTGTTTGAATAAACTGAAGATTCCTGGAAATTTTGATCTCTCTCCAAATTAGACGTTTTCCTGGCTTAGAATTTTGTTGGAACCATGAGATCTGAATTATTAGTTATGGTTAGTGGCATTTTCCATATTTATGTTTACTGTAATTTGCAGTTTATAAACTCCTTGAAAGATAATCAAAATGCTGAGGTAGCACTGCGGACTGTGACAAATGTTAAGGAAGCTTGTGCTTGGCTGGGATACACATATCTTTTCAGAAGGATGAAAATGAATCCACTGGCATATGGTATTGGATGGGATGAGGTACTTTCATGTTTCAACCTCTTTTAGTATAGTCAACATACTATTCTGCTGCCTATCTCCTTCTTATGTCATTAATTATATTTTTTTTCATCTCTACTCAGTTTCCTTCGTCTGTGACAGAAATTAAGAAATTCCTTTAGTAGATGTGCTTTTTGTTGCTCAGTTGAAAACATGTAATCTTAGTCAGTCCAACATGTCATAACTGTAATTACTAGGCATGCATCTAATTTTGGGATTCGTACTGAAGTTTGCGTCATTGAACCCTAAAAGTGTCGCCATAATCAATTAATCTTCAGAGAACCGCATGATGTCCTAATATGCTTGACTCTGATCTTGTCTTTTAGGGCCATCATACTCAAGTTTTACTTCAGAAACTCCTCCCCTCTGTTTATGTTTCTGGTTAACTAAGTTATTGTAATGTGCCAGGTCATTGCGGATCCTTCATTGAGTCTGAAACAAAGAGCTCTGGTTTCAGATGCTGCACGTGCTCTGGACAAGGCAAAGATGATGCGCTTCGATGAGAAAATTGGAAACTTTTATTGCACTGAGCTTGGTCGTATTGGTAGCCACTTTTACATTCAGTACTCCAGTGTTGAAACCTATAATGAGCTTTTGAGATGCCACTATTTCACGTACCTTTCTGCGTGAACCAATACGTACAATTCTGCGTGAACCAATACGTACATTTCTGCGTGAACCAGTTCTCGGTCTAGCTTTTGTCATGTTCTATCATCTCATAAATATGAGTCAGAAACCTATGGATATATCCATTTTAGGCCAAAACAGATTCTTTGATTTGTATATTGAGCTCTTTAATAAGTCTGATTATCCTTGTCTTTGTTTATGCCTCGGGTTGGAACAAATTACTATAATGCGCCCCCGCCGGCGGATTAGTCGACAATTTTTTACAAATTTTACGAACGGAAGCTCTTATTTTCATATTTGTTTTTCCTTAATTTTCATTCTGAATCTACTTCATCGGCAGAAAAAAAGATGAAATGAGTGATACGGAGGTAATGGACTATAAGAGATGGGTTTTATTTTTTATTTTTTATTTTTTATTTTTGTTGTCCTACCAGGAGATGAATTATGTTGATCTGGTTTCTTTATTACTTATTACTCAATTGTTTGTAATTATTGATTCATTGCATCTGTACTTCCTGTGTTCAAAATATTCCGATTTTATGCACTTTATGCCTTTCGTTTCCAAGACTGAAATCTGTTTGCTTATAATATATATTACATGATGCCGGTAGTCAAGACAGCATATATAACAGTGGATCCCGGAGTCAAAATGAATTTCTGTACTATGAGCATATTCCCTTTTATAGCTTCTCCACGTCGAGTGCTCACTGAAAAGAAATTTGGGAGGGAACTTCTTGTGAAAACCAAGTGCCTGACTTCTAAGTATATGCTTGAAAGTAACATTCATCTAAAGACGGCAGACATGCAAAGGTGATATAGATTTAGTCTATGAATGTCATTCGCTGACATTTTTTTGTTTGGACCATTTTTTTCCTTGAAAATGTGACATATCATTAATTCTATATATTCATGGGGTTCATTCAATATAAATGTTTGATTATGGATTGCACTCCGACAATTATTGGAATGCTGGAAAACTTTGAGTTTCTGTTCCCTGAGTAGGCGAGTTTTTTTTCCTTTTTATTTTTTCGTTTTTTTTTTTGAAGCATTGAACAATTGTCAGAATTTTTCACCATTTGAGCTAGAGCATTTTTTGTGTTCTTTTTCTTTTATCTTTATTTGACATTTGGTTCTCCTTTCACTTATAGGGAAGAGAATGTCTGAATGTCTTATCAGATCTTGTTCTGTGCTTCAAGTTAGGGATTCCTAATGCTCCTTCGGATGTTTCAGTCGAATGATAAATGCATATGGTTTAGAATTTCAAATTACATAGAAGCCTAATATGTAATAGCCCAGTTCTGTATTAATAAAAGTGACATTTTTAGTTCCGAGTTTGAGCTACTTTTCCTTTTATTAATGTTGCTCGTTTTGAGTTCCGAGCCCAGTTATTCTGCTATTCAATTTCAACTATTAATTCCGGTCAATTTATTTTTAGAAATGGATTTTATTCAATCGGGAATAATTATTCCAGTCGACGAATAATCGAAACCAAGTATGTTTCGATGTATCGTCCAAGTCAAGCCGTGTCTGGAACCGAGTATGTTCGGTCGCGAGTCTCGCGCCCTAGTGTTCGCGCCTAGTTAATTGCCGAGCCATAGCCATGTGCCTAAGCATAGGCGAGCAATGTGGGAATTTTTCCTAAGTGTTGTGACTCTTAAGTCCAGCCTTAGACAAGTGTTAGCCTCAGCCCAAGTGAATGCCGAGCCTAAGCCTACGCGCACATGAGGTCCAATGCCGTGCAAGAAGGCCTAAGTGTCCAAGTGTTCGCGGGATTTTTCTAAGTGTTATGCATCAAGAAAGGATCATGGGCCATGTCGTTTAAGCCTTAGAAGGTCAATTTTCTCGATCCAAGGTTTGTCCCGCGCCCAGTCCGCGTGCACAGGCCCACTCGCGCAGCCCGCCGGCCCACCTTCCAAGCCCAATTCCAAGAGTTTCGGCCCATTTCCTTCAAGACCCAAGTGCTGCGTGTATTAAGGGGGTTCTGGGGATTAATTAAGCCTAAGATGTCCCTGAGTAAGATTAAGGAAGGTTAAATGGGCATTAGGAATATTTTATTGGTAGTGGAGCATTATTTAATGGTGCATGTCATACCTTGTTCCCCACTCACCTCATGCTTTGACCAAGGCCTGACCAGAGCACAATTCTCCAGCCAAATGCTCTGCAATATGCCCTCTTAAACCGTGCAAGGTCAGCCCTCAAGTCCCCATGAGTATGGAGTAAAGATTCCCACTCACATTTTGTCTCCCATGAGCTTCCATGGTAAAATCCGCCCCTCCTGTAATGCCCCGTTTGATTACGGAATATTTGGAAATTATTTATTATTACTATTATTATTATTTATCTATATTTGTTGTTATTATTATTATTTATTGAATGCTAAAACTTATTAAATGTCTAATATGATCTATTTGTCAAATTTCGATTAAATGCTTAATTGTCTAAGTGTTATTATTTAATTAAAATGTGTGTATTTGTAATATTATTAATATTATTATCTTATATTTTAATTGTGTGTATTATTATATAAATAATAACCGGTTTATTTACTTTATCGTGCAATTTAATTTTCGAGCCGAACCGAATTAAGATGGCTAGTCGAGCCCGAGAATCGGCCCGAGAGCCGGCCCAAATTCTTGGAAACCGTCCAAACCCATGAGCCCAACCCGGTTTTTCCTTTGACCCGGTCTGCCCCGTAAGTGAGTTTCTTACTAGCCAAGACTATTAACCCTAAGATTATATTGTTTTGTCCCTCGCTCATTCATAATCAGAAGAGAAAAAGGAACGCCGCAATCTTAATCTCTTCTTCCATATCTGTTCCCCTTATCCCGAAACCCGATCGCGCCACTATCTCCCTCACAATCTCTCGCTCGCAAATCCGATCGCCACCCCATGCATCTGATCGCCGCCGATCATCATCCTCACCTTCTCTCCCTGCAAATCCCGTCGCCATTGTCCGCGAGCAAAAACCCACGACCACTAGGGGATCGAACCACCGAGTCTCTGTCCATGTCGCGAGCCGTCCAGCGGGAGCCACCACCGTGAACAGCCGCGCCCCGACAGTCAACCGTCGCCGTCAAACCACCAGCGAACCCTTCCCATGTTCGCGAATTCTTCATCTCCGGCAAAGTCAGCGCCGCTGCTCCCCCTACCACCACGAGGTTCCAGTGCCGCTGCAACTTCCGGTGATCCACGCACAGGCCTTCCTCTGCGAGCAGACCTCGACTTCTGGCAAGCGACCACCATCGGCTGCCCCTGCCCGCTACTCCTCCGCGCAGCACCCTCACCGCGTGAACTACATCGCGAGTCCCTGCTTGCACAGCAGCCCTGCGAAGTTTTTTCGGCGACCAAACCTCCTCCGGCGTCGTTCCGTTCGCGAGCAGGCCCAACATCGGCGACGAGAACTTCCGCGAACGTCCACCACTTGCCACCGCGACTCAAGCAGCAACTCGTCGGACGTCTCTCTCCCTGTCGGAACACTCAGCGGCGACGGACAGCCCCTCTGTATCCGACAAGCGAGTCACTGTGTGCTTCCCGTCAACCCTTCGTTCCGTTTTCGATCGAATCCCGAGAACGGTACAAGGCTCGACCCGTTTCGTTTTATTCTATGTATTGTTTACGTGCGCAATTATGTGAAGTATTGAACGTGTTTGTTGACATGTTATTCGAACCATTCGTGTTAATATATGTTGATGATTTAATTCGTTTGCCTCGGTTCATTGTTATAATTGCCGTGAATATACATAGACGATCTCTTCGATTTTGAGAAATCGAACGAGACCTCGTCAACTCGTGAATTGATCGCTATGGATTGGAACTTGTATCGTCCTTAGTCTTATGGAGAAGACTTCAGACGAATTTGTCGTAAAACGAGCCGTAGAGAAATTGTTGAACTCTAATAACTGCTGTTTTGGTGTTTCAATTATTAATAATTATGTACTGCTCCGTTTGGCTTGACATTTTGAGTTCAATTTGGTTTGGTTTTAATTGAAATTCGATAAACTGCTGAAACTTGTAGGAATTTTTAAAATTCGCACAGTTAATGTCCAGGGCTGAATTTTTGATATGTTGTCATTCTCATGCTGTAGTCTTGGTATAAAAATTTCATAGGTTAACTCATTCAGTATATCTGGTTGCTAATTGTATGCTTGTTTTTGCCATTAGCTTGCTCGAATTTGTTAAAATAGCACGCTTTGAATTTGGGGATTAAAATTGGTGTTTTTGCTTAACTCTGGGAGGTGAAATTTTGGTTAAAATTTCATAGTTAAATTCGTATGATAACCTGACCAACCTATTTTTGTGAATAAAATCTAGTAGTTTTAAATATATGACTTTTGCAATGAAAGCTGTAAATTGGCTCGTTTTCCATTTCATTAAGTGTTTGACTTGGTCAATGTTTGTGTGGGATTATGTGAACTCCCATGTGTAGGTGGTTGAGTCTTATGTGAACTCCCATGGATGCAGGTTAGTGTTGCGGGCACGACGGAGGGATGCGAGTGGTAGTCTTAATAATTGATACTGCTTCCGCCTAGAACTGAATATTGCTATTACTGCTTTCTTTATTATTGATTACTGGATTATTGATAGGGAGTGTACTCCCTAGGATGATTTGATTATTGAAGTGCAAATTTGAGTTTTGATAATTGAGTATTGATGATTGTTTAAGTATTGGTGAATGATTGAGTATTGAAAATCTGGTTAAGTATTGATAAACCGTTTGAAAATGAGTAACGCCTCAAGTGTTTATTGAAATAAATTTGAAAAATTTATTTCGACAAATAAAAGTGGGGCGTTACAGTTTGGTATCAGAGCCAGTCTGCGTTTCTGTAGACTGGTATGTGTGAATATTGTGAACTCTGTGAAATACTGGCATACTATGATGTAGTATGTGACCACTCGTTTCCGTCGTGCCTCGCCAACTCAGGTATGAGTTTCATAAGAAATTTTGAATTGATTATGAGCTACCTGATTTATGAGATAATATGATGAGATGTAAACCGGGGCTT